TCCCCCCCCCCCCCCCCCCAATAAAAATGAGCAAAAGTTCTCAGAAAGGAGGAGTCTATGCTCTACTAAAAACCGATTAGACCCTCTTAAAAGCCTGGATTTAGCTTGAACGGGTCTTTAAAGACTCCAACCAACTCCGTTTCCAATTATAGATATGTGTTTCGCGCAAAACCAGGTGGTACACATTGGTATCATTCTCACGTACTTACCCAAAGAGATCAAGGCATTGTTGGTGCTATGATCGTACGAGATCAAAAGACTTCGAATAATAGAAAACTGTTGAGGAATGTAGTGGACGACCCAGGAAAAACAATGCTGGCTATACGCGATCATATGGAGCAAGCAAATGCCGCAGCTGGCACAAAGCCTGTCATATGTCAACCAGACCGTTCCCTTTTCGCACTTTTTCCAGTCTTTGGTAATAAGATGAACATGGAAGCGTTCAGAATAAACGGAGTGAAATTGAATGAGAAGTTGCCAAAATTAACCAAGCATTTGAAACCGATCTTCTATGTGGAACGGGGAAAGAGAATCCGTTTTCGAATTCTCGGAATAATGTCGAGTAACGTTCTCCGAATTTCTATTGACAAACATAAGTTGCACGTGATGTCCGCTGATGGCTATCTCACAAAGCCCTTCGAAACTGACCTTTTAGTCGTTCACATTGCGGAGCGTTATGACTTCATAGTGAACACCAATAAAGATTACAAGGCTGGAACGGTTTTTCCAATTCGAATCGAGACCATCGCGGTACAATGTAACGATTTTTCCACTCCAACAATGGTCGGCTATGCTTACCTTCAATATACCGACAACGAAATTCCTGGGAAACCAAACTTAGTCGATCATTATGGCAATAAGCATCGTTGCAAAGTCGAGAAATGCACAGCGCTGAACTGTCCATTTGAGAACTACCCTCCAGAGGCTAATATCACATGCCACAATGCACGGGAACTTCGTTTGCTCAATCCAACACCAAAAAATCAGTTGCCGGAACACACTGGCAAAGTTGTGGAGCGATTTTTCAACTTTGGCTTTACACAACTAGGTCCAGCCATTAACGGTATTGTTAATCAACTGCCACAAAATATTCCTTTCGTTCACTCCGGCAGCGAAGAAGTTGTAAACGAATGTACTGTCGAGGACAAGAGAACGTGCAAATCGTGCGCGCAGACTGTTTATATTAAGCGGAACAGCGCGAATAAGGCTGATGGGACATTTTCACCTCAAACTATACGCTTTGTGCTTTCGTCGATTTCAGCAACCTCTTCCAAAGAGGGCTCCACAAATGTAATAACACATCCAGTCCATTTACACGGTCATTCGTTCTTCGTGACAAAGATCGCTTACCCAACTTATGACGAAAATGGCGCCATCATTGCAATGAACCCGAATTTAACGCAACCGAACCCGAATTGCGGACCCGCGCAATGGACGAACGGAGAGCGGCCGTCGGAAATCGAGATTGACAGTCGCACAATTCGTAAAGACATGATTATTGTTCCTGCGGGTGGTTATGTGGTCATTGAGTTTCTGGCAGATAATCCTGGATGGTGGTTTATGCATTGTCACATTGATTCGCATAGCAGTAACGGAATGGCAATCGCGGTTTCCGAACTTCCTAGCTGTCGAACCCCTCCGCAAAATGACAAGTTTAAGGTTAAACACTCCTATTGGCTTTCCAAAGTAAGATTCCTTGGACATGAATGGTTCGGTAACAAATGCAATATTAAGGTGAGTTGACACTATTATTGGAATGGATGAACCACAACAGCACATACGTAAAAACACGCAAGTTGTTATAGGTCTGCAAACAAGTTGTGTTCACAAGCTGTCGACAAGTTGTGTTCGCACTGCTTGTTCCCAGTTGTTGTAACAAGTTATGAACAAGTTGTTAACGACTTGTAACAAGTTTGATGGCATTATCAGATTTGTTACAAAGTTGTTCCAACAACATTTTTCGCAGTCGTTCCTGGTTAGTTCTTAAAATGTATATATTCTCACTTGGATTACAAACCCTAACATTCTAAAGAAATACTATCAGCTTATAGCTTAGTTTAATTAATCGGCAAAATTACAGATAAATGTATTGCGCAGTGGGGTGCGAGTGTAACAATCTCCATTTTCTTGCAACCATTTTCAGAAGAGACTTAGTTGCGGCACAAACTCTATTAACTGTGGTTGCGGTTTATCGCCACCATAAAACAATTACTTGTTAAATAATCACCTCCTGCCAATAAACAAGCTTTATGGTCAGTTATTGATTAAATATATGATTAAATATTAAATATGATGCAGTAATATAATATTTTGCAGTAATAAATTTACATGATGTTTCCACATGGTGTTATCGCCATGCATGCGCGCAAACCTACAAAGAACTTAGAAATATGATTGAATATTAATAGAATGTATAACTTTTCTCTGAAGAACGAGATCATTTTTGTGTCCAGATATTTTCAAATTCTAAATGCAAATACTGAGTACGTATATTTTAACTTTTCTAGCGAGATAACGGGTTCGGCAATACAGCAACATATGCTGACGAAGCAGAGAAGCGAGCTTCTGAAATGGAAAAGAATTCAGATGAAATTAATATGCAAAATTTGCGTCAGGAAATCTTCAATCCAGTGGCTGACGAGAATCTCGACTACGAATCTCCGTATCACAAACGTGAATTACTCCAGGGCCTCGAATCACGTGCCAACACTGAGCAGCGGAAATTTCAAGACCAAGAGTGGGACGAAAGCAACATGTGAACAGGAAACGATATCATTCATAAATTCATTTTAATCGAGTACTAGAAATAGAGCATTACGTATAGAACAGGCAGAATTAAAAACTACACAATCAGTCTATAATGTCTATAATGACTTTGTATTAAGGTGGCTCCCCATATATAATCACCGAGCCCGAGGTGAACAATTGTTTTAGTATATAGTTGGAAAAAAAATAAATATACACATTGACAAAACGGCTTCGGCCGCCATTTTGAAAATCGCTCAGGTGATTATCGCGTTATAATCACCTCAACGGCAACCAACCAGCGTTGGAGTAGTCAATAATCACCTATATAAATATACTAAACTTAATTAAAGGCTAAGAAAAAATGCGAACGATCTGTGCAGGTGTATGTACTCAATGGATGAGTTGCCGGTTCGCAGGGGGCAATTGGCTGCGAAAAACAAAGGGGCCTGCGAATGGCAACCCATCCATTAAAATATCTGGAAACTGGCCAAAGTCTTTGTATCCTTTTTGTTCATATTTATGCAAAATTGCAACGGGGAAAACCATCATTTTTGATACTAAAAAGCAATCATTGAATCCAGTCAACAGTACTGTTGAAATATTAAGTGAAAATTTATAAGATTTGTGGACAGTGAGGCCATCTCAACATAAAGT